TAAGTGCCATGATGGGGCTTGTAGATGTCTCTCGAGTGCTGTGATGGGGTGTGCGGTTGCCCTGATGCACAAAGGAAAAGGGCTTTGTGGCTCAACTGGAAACTTGAGAGGACTCCCAAGAAAATCCAACACAGCTCAAGAGCTGAAGGAAGAGAAGCAGAGCTTGCCTGGCGCCATGGGTGTGCAAAGGCAAAACTGCATGAGCTGGCAGTGGCATTCTGGGGTCCACATGGAGTTTCACACGGTGGGGGTGGTGTGAAGTCACAGTGGCAGTGTGGCTCTGAAACCTGTGCTCCAGTCCTGGGTGAACCGCTTGATAAATATGTGACCAAGTGCAATTACTCAGCTTTGGACTTCTCTTCCTGAGCATCTGACTGATCCAGGGGTCTTGTGAGGTCTTAATGAGATGGGCAGTGACGTGTTAGCTTTCTACCACTGCTGAGACAAATTCCCACCACCTTGGTAGTGGCTTAAACCACACTCACATATAATGAGCACTGTTGATTATTGCCGTAAGTGTGAAATGGGTTTCACTGGACTAAAACCAAGGCATTCACAGGGTTGTGCTCCTCCTTGGAGGCTCTCAGGGACAACCTGCTTCCTTCACTTTCCCGTTTTGAGTGGTCACCTGTCACTGGAGCTTGTGGCCCCCTCCTCCATCTTCAAGGCCAGCACTATGGCAACTCTGAGCATTCTGCGGTCTTCACATCTTTCTCTGTCTGAATCCCAGACACTCATGGGATTAAACTGAGCCCACCTGGCTGAGTCAGGATGTGGGCCTCTTTGTGGAGCCATGATTCTTCTAGCCATGCATTTTATAACTTAACACAATGCCTGATCTATACTGTACGTTCACAATTACCGATCATGATGACACCACTGTTGTTAGTGTTACACCCAATTCAAGAGTATGAGAAGGAACTGTCAGTGCTTCTGATTGCCTGAGTTAAAAACGCACCAAATTGGTTGTAAACTTGAGAATGCTCAGATGTTAAGAAGCTACTCCAAAACATGCTGAAATCTAGAGTTCCTTTTAAGCAAAAGTTTCTAATAAACAAAGGTTTTCTCACTAAATCCTAGCCATTGCGTACTCCTATGCTGGCAGAACAAACTTTGCATGGTGTTTCAGCATTTCCATATCAACAGGGAGAACAGATTCCTCTCCCAACCTTGTGTGCCATACCAGCCAGCTGGTCTGGTCTGACTCATACATGGCTATAGCCTGGTGGTGGGTGAAAGGAACTCTGTAAACCATTTGCAAAGAACTCCAGGCAACTGGTGAGATGGAACCAGAAATGCTCCCAAAAGTTGCCTTAACGTCATTAAAAGTTGGGCAGGCTTAGAGGCCAGGAAACGGAACACAGGCATATGGGGCTGGCCTATGCAAGAGCACTCTTTGCAAAGCAAGTAAACTCCCCCTCTCCATTTTAAGCAGAAAACACAATAGAGTTTGATGCTACTTTGTAATTCCCTACCACCAACCCCCCTGGATGAGACTCAAGTTTCTTGAGAGTGAGGATTATGCCAGGAAGTGACCAGTCAGCCTCTGATGCCTGGTCAGAGTCTGGCACATAGCCAGGATCCAGTAAAAAAGTGTTGAATTAAAGAAAGAATGATATCTGGGCACCAGTGGTTCATGCCTGTAATCCAAGCTACTTGGGAGGCTGAGATTGGGAAGATCACCGTTCAAGGCCAGACCAGGCAAATAGTTCACAAGACCCCCAATCTCTAAAATAGCAGAGCAAAGTAGAATAGAGGCATAGTTCAAGCAACAGAGCACCTTCTTACTAAGTGCGAGGCCCTGAGCTCAAATCCAGTCCTTCCCCCACATAAAGAATGGATGAATAGATAGAGAACAACTGATAGGAACCCAAATTATAACGATTGGAAGATGGGCAAACCAGGACCACAACAAAGGGAGATCTTTAGATTCTAAAGCAGGCGTGGATACCTGTGACCCGTGGATCAAGTCTATTTTACACAGAGCACAGACATCCTCTTTCCTGAGTGTTCTGTCTGTGGCTGCCTTAGTGTGGTAACAGCATCGTATGTGACCTATCTCTACTAACCTAGAATATTTACTGTCTAGGCCTTTACATAAAGCACTTGCCAACTCCTGCTTTAGGATATATTCAGGTAGCTCATCAGAATAATTTTATGACCTCTTAAATCTGCAGATTCCTAAGCCCACCATCTGAATTTTTAACCGGGGTCCCCAGGTCTTAGAATCCTTGCACTAAAAGAGAAGTGATCCAATTTCACAAGGGCAGGGTTCTAAACTTCTAGGTTGAGCCATCATCTCTTGAAAGGCTCATTAAAACAGCCCGACGGGCCCTGCCCCAGAGTTTCTGATTCAGTAGGACTCATATTTTGGTTATATCCCACGTGATGATGAAGCTACTGAGAACCATGACACAAGGGCTACTCAATGCTCGTCATTGTTTAAAAGCCACACGTGGTCCATGTTGGCAGTAGATTCTGATTTGAACAGGTCCGGGGTGAATTCTTCCTGTACCTCTGTGTCAATAAAGACTAAGCGTTATGAATGAGCTAAGCTAAGGCAGCCTTTTAGACTTTAGCTGAAAACCTTTTGTACATTTATTATATTTTTATAACATCCAAAGTTTGTCTTCATATTGTCTCATTTAAACTCCAGGACAGCACCACAGGAAAGCATTCTTATTGCCACACAATCCTCACTCCCATTTTTTCAATAGAAAAAAATGAGGCCCAAAGGGATTGAAGATGGGTACCAGAGTATCTCCCTCATCCCCTACCCGTTCAATGATAATCTCTCTAACCCCCGTTTTGCTTCCTTCCTTCTCTCTCCTGTATCTACCACTACTTAACCTCTGGTGACTTTTACACTTATCCTCTCTAACACGTTCGAGTCTTTCCCTCCCTAAAACATAAGCTCTCTGTGGCGTGGCCTCTTCTCCTAGCTAACAATGCAACCACAGGTCTACCCCATTCTGCCAAAGAGCAGGAAGTCCACCCTCTCCTCTCTGGCCCTATGTGCTCACCTTCCACTCACTGCTCAACTCACTATCAAGTGTTCTTGGTCCTTGCCATCCGCACCCCACCCCACGGAAACTGTCTCTGCCAGGGTTTTCCAATAGAAACACAAAGCAAGCCACACAGGTCATACAACACTTTCTAGTAACCATGTTAAAAAAAAAAAAAAGTAAAGAGAAACAAGTTGAAATTAACTTCAGTAATGTAACTCAACCCAATATTCCAGTGTATTTTCATTTTAATGTGTAATCAGTGAAAGAGTTATCAATGAGCCATTTTACCTTCCTTCTTTTCATACTGTCTGAAGCCCAGTGTGAGTTCACACTCCATAGACACCACATTTCAGCTCAGACTAGCTGCACCTCCAACGCTCATAGCTACATGTGGTCAATGGCCACATCTTATTGCATAGTACAGCTCTCCATGGCCAGGAGGACTTCAGGCAAGTCAGGTCCAGGGGGCCTTCTGTGGACCTGCTGTCACCCAATCTTTCTTCTATTGACTGCCACTTCTCTTTTTTCCTTGCAACACTCCCCTTTGTTTTCTGAAACACCCTTTTGTTTGTCCTGCTATATATCTCTGGGTCATTCCTTCTTACAGGCACCTCTTCCTTCACTCACTTCTTAAAGAGTTTCTATTCCTTCAAGGTTCTGTCTCCTGTCCACTGTTCCTCCCTTACTACATCATTCAGTTGGAAATTGTATCTGGTTTTTATGGATTTAACTATGTATGCTGATCTCTAGGTCCAGTCATTCCAGTGGGCTTTTTATGCAATAACCAGATGTTCATGGTACCTCATAAGCCAGTAAAATGCAAAAAACTAAAACTGACCTCATCCCCACCACACAAACCTGCTCAGTGAATGACAGCCCATTCAGCAGCTGCCCATTGAAGTCAGGGCCTTGCACTTGCCAAGCAAACCAAACACTTTACCACTTGAGCCATGCCCTAGTCCTTTCACTGGTAAAACAAAACTTAATTTGTTTTTCAGATAGGGTCTTGTTCTCACTTTGCCTAAGCAGGCCTCCTACCTCTACCTCCAGAGTAGCTGAGATTATAGGCACACGCACCAACCTTGTCATATAGTGAGTCTTAAAGTCTAGGAATGCTACAATTCAGGAAACTCCCGTAAGAGTCCCCTTGTGAGAAACTACTTTAGAACCTTAACTGCCTTAGTATCACACAGAAGCCTTACGGACAAACCTATTCTTGGATTCCATCCCAGACCCGTTGAATTAGAACTCTTTGGAGTGGGGTCCAGGATGGGTGTTCCAACCAGCTCTCCAGGTGACTCTTAAGCTCACTAAAGTTTCAAAGTCACCACTCTAGGTAGAGCCAACCTTGACATTGGGTTCTTGTCCTGTGCCAAACATCAGGGTAGCTGAAACACACACAAAAAAGCTCAAATTCAAAGTTTGAATGAGCTCAGCTTTCAGGATCCAACCTCCTGAGCCTCCAGGTGAATCATTTAGCATTCAGGTTCTCCTTCTTTTCCAGAAGGAAATAATGGGTGATGTTTGGGTATAAAGAAACTAGTATTTAATGTACAACCTGCTTCTTAGTCCTGGAGTTCAGGGTTTACTTCTTCAAGGTTAATTCCAGGAAATAAAGCAGTGTTTGCTGAGTCACCCACTAGGGAGACTGGAGCAGAGAGCAACACAGGAAAATCCACAAGCCTTTTTGTCTTATTACATTCACTTTATATTTTAAAACATTTGAAAGTGCTCTTGAGAAAGATAAAGATATAAGCTGAGTCTATGAAGCAGAAGAGACCTTGACGGTTGTTTAGCTGCTGGAGAGTCTTAGAAAGAATTAACTTAGAAGCAAAGTGAATCTGGAATCCAGTTCTGGTTCTGCCTTAATGAATTGTGTGAATTTCTTAAAGACCATTCCAATTAAAGAGATACTTATTGAATATCTCTGATGATCCTGGCATGAAGCCAGGTACTGGGGACATAACAAATAACATAGGCAAAGACCTTGACCTTAAGGAATTACAGGCTGATGAACTCTCACAAGGAAAGATGTTGAATACATCAAATCCAAAGAAACTCAGATTAGAGTAAAAGTTTTCAATTCTCATCATGGAGAATACTATTAGGTGTGTCATATATGGTCTGTATTATGTAGGGTGACATTCCTTCCACACCTCGTTTGCTAAGCATTTTTATCATGAAAAGATGTTGGACTTTGTCAAATAATTTTTCTGCATCTACTGAGATGATCATGTGAGAAGCAGCTGAAAATCCAATAAATAAATGAAAATGGAAAATAGCCTGACATTCCAAAAGAAGATAGGTGTGGTGAACAGAATAGCCTCCAAAGATGTCCACACCTCTATCAGCAGAACCCATAAATGGGCTGTGTTATATGGAAAGGGGGATTTTGTAGGGGTAATTAAGATTATAGACCTGAGAACAGCCTGATCACATATGCTCTTGAAGGCAGAGAATTTTCCGGGTGGAGTCAGAGAGCTATTGCAGAGACTCAAAGCATGGCCCATCACTTCAGTGCCCACAGAGAAAGCATGAGAAAGAATGCAGGAAGCCTCTGGGAACACAGGCTGTCACCAGTTCACAGACAGCAAGTAAACGGGCACCTTGGTCCCACAGCCCCTGAGTGTACTGTAACTGATTTCAGCAGCAATAGAAAATTAATACAGCAGGAAAGGGAATAGAGAGAAATCCAAAATAGAGGGAAACAAAGAAACCAGTGAAACAAAGAAATGCACCGAAACTCACATTAAATGGTAGTGAGCTAGCTGGACACAGTGGCTCAAGCCTGTAATCTTAGCTACTTGGGAGGCAGATATAGGAGAACTGTGGTTCAGGGTCAACCAAAGCAAACAGTCCAAGAGACACCATCTCAACAAATGACGGGGCACAGTGGTGCATGCCTTTCATCCTAGCTACACAGGGAAGCACAGATGGAGGATTGTGTCCAGGCTGGCCTGGGAATAAAAGCAAGACCCTGTCCCAAATATAATCAGTGCAAAAAAGGACTAGCAGAGTGAGTCAAGAGGTAGAACACTTGCCTAGCAAGCACAAAGCCCTGAGTTCAAACTCCCAGTTCCGCACATACTAAAAAACGGTAGTGCCCTAGAAGGCAGAGACTATCAGAATGAATTTTGAAAAAAGCAAGACCACTATTCTCTGTCTGTAAGAAATGCAAAGATGCGGACAGATTGAATGTAAATTAATGGAGAAAGATATACCACACAAGCAGTGAACTTGGCAGGCTGGAGCATCTGTATTAATATCAGATAAAATGGATCAAGACAAGGAGGACCGTCAGAGCAACATTTCCACCTCTTTTTTTTTTTTCCTTTGTGGTACTGTGGTTTGAACCCAGGGCCTCATACTTGCTAGGCAGGTGCCCTACCACTTGAGCCACTCCACCAGCGCAGGAAAACATTTCATAATAAGAGAAAGGTCAATCCATCAAGCACAATGTGTATCTCTTAATCAAAGAACCCCGAAACATACCGTGGAATTAAAGAGAGAAATAGACAAGTCCACAGCTGAAGTTCATCTTCAACTTCAGTCACAGATGTTTGTCATTACTTATTATTAATCTGTAAATCAACTCACTTTTTAAAATGCAATTAAGCTATTTTAAGGGAGATTTTATAGCTTACATAAATGAGAAGCTGTGTCATTTATAATAAAAAATCATCATAAAAATAAAACAAACCAGACCATTAAACCTAGTTTGGGCACCATGGCAAGCCTACCATGTGAGTCTGTCTTCTGTAAGGCTGGAGCTGGGAACCACCCAAAACCATGGTGTGGACTTGAGGTGGTATGCACCCCATATTCTGGGAAATGTGGATATAAGTCAACTCTCTCACAAGTGCAAAGGAGGTGGTCTCATGTCACGAAGCAGGAGACCCCAGAGTCAAGTGCTCCTTCCTCTCTAAGGCTGAGTCTCCTGTTAGCAGTAAGAGTGGAACCCAAGCCTTTCTTTCAAATCAACATTTAGAACCCAACAGAAAAAATGCAAGTTCCAGGATCCTGAACCATCTCAGGTGTGCTGGAGTGCTCAGCATCCAAAACTGCTTAGTGCCAAGCTTGTGCTGCCTTTTCAACACAGCTGATGTCACCTACAGCATGATAGAAAATGGGAGCCAATGCTTCAGTTCCAGGAACGGAATCACAGGCAGCCCCCGCCTGAGAGGAGCCTCACAAGTGATGCATGTCCTCTGAAGCCATTTGGCTGGTGGGACTTGTAGATTTATGCCTCAGAGAAAAACCACTATCCATCAAGTGGCCAGTCTGACACTGCACTGGGTGACGAATGAGATCTGGGAAGTAAGGCTTATCAGGAAAAGGCTGCTACATTAGTAGAATTACAAAACAGCTAGCCCTGCCACGCTTGGCTCCCCGCTGCAAATGAACTTCACAGAAGACCTGAAATTGGACAGCCCAAAATAATTTTGGCTCTGACTCCCATCAGCAAAGAGAGCTAACTCTCCACCTTCCTAACAGATCCTGGTCATTAATCTCTAATCAATCATTTTGTTACATGGCCTCCGCTTGACATGGAGCCAGCATGTGAGATACAGGTGCCCCAAACTGAAAAGACCTCGGCTTGAATCCTGGATCTGTCATTTGCTAGCCGAGTAATTTTAGGAAGTTTTTTGGTTTTTTTTTTAACACTCTAAATCGCAATTTCTTAATCTGTAAAACCATGCAGATCGTATTTGCACCCTACATGAGATAAGTATAATAAAAAATAATTTCATTACATGCCATCTATCAGATGCTATGTTAAGTCTTTTATGAGTACTCTGTACATAGGCTACATGTCCAGCATCGAGTAAAACACCCACTCTGAAGCCCGGAATTGAACACAGACTCGATGAGCACCAGCGTATGGTTAAGCAACTCTGCCACGAATCTTAACTAATACACATACGAATGTGCCCACTCCCCTCCTTCCACTCCACGTGTTCATGCACACACAATTCAATTCAGTTGGTTTTCCCAGGGAAGTAGACTTTTAGCCTCAAGCTCAACTCCAATCGAATAAAAAAAATCCTTTCAAATTTGCAGATGAAGGAGAGTCTCAATTAGATTGATCTTGGAGCTTAACAACAAAGGCAAAGGTGGAAAAGACGTTCAGCAGACAGCAGTGGTTTGGGAAGAAGGCAGGAGACCTGGAGTTAGGACCGGGAGGCTGGTTCTGCTGCTGTTACATAGATGGGGTATGGTACATTCTTCAGCTCTCTGGGCCTTTTCTTATAGGCAAAATGAGGTACTGGAATGTTACAGTTCTAAATCCCACAAAGCAGCAAAGGCCAAGTTGATAACAAAGGAAAGGCAGTGAGTTGTCGGCGTTCAGTGCTAGGTAGAGTTGTGTGTGGTTTGGGCTAGAAAGCAAGGCTGCTCACTTTTCAGGGGTCCAGAACATGGGGTACAGAGGCCTGGTGCAGCCTCTCCATCTGTATGGACGTGGCCAAGTCCCTTTACTTCCTGCAGTCTCAGTTTGCTCTTTGTGAAGGGTGATGGTAACTCCTTGCTTTGCTAGATGCTCAATGTATTTTCTGATCCATAATAGTCATGGTCCTCTTTCTCCTCTCTTCCTCTTCCTCCTCCCCCTGCAATTCTTCCTCCTCCCCCTTCTCCTCTTCCCTCTCCTTCATCTGTCTTCCTTTTCCTTCTCCCCATCTTCCAACTCCTCTCACTCCTACATTTTGTCCTCCTTCTCCTCCTCCTCCTTCTCCCTTCCTCCAACTCCTCCTCCTCTCCCTCCATAAAGCAAGGGATCTCCCCTCAATGATAAGATCAAATTTATCCCATTGCATGACCTGGGTCAAGTTCATCATGAAAGATTTTCGTTCTGTTTCCCTTTGAAGAATGACAAGCAAGGAATCAACAGTTGGCACCTCTCAGAAGAAGAAAGGTACTGTATTCAGAGCAGATGTGCCACCGGAACCACAGTGATGCCTTAACAGAGCCTGTTCTGATGACTTAACGTGTCTCTGGTCCATCATCTCAAATGACAGGTTACTCAGCGAGACAGAGGGAGAGCAGCAGATGGATGCGACAGTAGGTCCTGCTATGTACCCACAGGCACTTTGAAGACACTCAGACTTGTGCCCACATATCTCCCTCCCACAGCAAAACCCATGAAGAAATCCTGATGTCACTTTGAGAAGCATGTGGCATCTTGTCTCTCTTACCACACTAGTCCCCAACCCTGGTCACACCAGACACAGCTTTAACTGACCTCTCTGGTTGTGAGAAAAGTAAAATGAGATGAGACTAAGACTGTAACAGGTTTATTCTTCTGCTGAGGAGGAACTCCAGATCTGAATCGTGGTGAAAGGGATTCAAGGTTTTGTTCCATGACTTACCAGCAATGTCACAAGAGGCTACCTAAGTTCTCCCACCTGTGAAACAGGAGGAGCAATGAGAACAGAGCCACGTGGTTATCTGAAGACAAAATTTGATCCTATCCCTTGGGCCAAAGTTCCTCTTACTCACTATACTCTGACCACAGTTGCCTGTGACATTGTCCACATGGCAATCAGCTTCTTCCCGCCTCAGCATCTTTGCATGGCTGTTCCTGGTACCTGGAAGACTTCCCTTAGCTCCTTCACATCCTACAGGATTCCGCTTAATGCCACCTGCTCTGAGAAGTCTCTGTGTCTAGGACAGGGCCTTGGTCCACTGGTCATAATCACAGCATTCTCTGTAGCCCTTTTCAAAACCTGTAATTGGTTTTTTCCATTTGCGTATTGATGTCTGACAACACTGGTATGTCAATTAGAATCTGGTCTTTCATACATGCCTTTAATAATGGCATTATTAAATGCTATGTAAGTATTTAATAAATATTCACTGAATGGAGGAATATATTGGGAAATACTTGGGAACTGGAAAGCCCTAGATATAAATAAGGTACCATATGAAATTCCTTCTATATGATATATACAAATATGATAAAAGTATAGCATAGGTACCTAAGATAAATATTACATAAGAAATATATATGACAGATTTTAAATATATATAATATAACAGAAATGAAGC